TTGTTTATATTTAAAATTGATATGGGTTAATGTCAACATATTTCATTTTCTAAGAAGAGGAAAACTTATATATATGAAACTTATTTAAATACGTATATTTAATTTTTCAAAATAATATCGTTAAAAGTGTACGTTTTTAATGTATTTTAAAAATAGTATAACTACTCTTATAAAAATATTTTTTATTCACAAAACCATTGTTTTAATGAAATTATACAGTAAAGAACTCTGTTGTTAGAAACATTCAAGTCATAACTTACTTAAATGAGTAATATGTTTTGACATAGTTTTTCTAAGTTATTTACCTTTCTGAATTATTAACATATTTTCAATATAAAACTTGTTCCATAACGTAATATCCCAAAAATACAATCTAAAATTATATAATAGAATAATCACATTGAATAATATTACAGATCAGTCTTACACTAATAGAGAAAGTACGATTGTGACCGAACGACCTACAAAAAGGTAGAAAAAATGAAAACTATACAAAGATACAAGCCTGACCGATCGATTTACAAAAGACCTACACCGAACGGTCTTTCAAAAGAAGAGAGGAAAGATAATCGAACAACCATCTTAAAACTTAACTAATATACTGACCGAACGGTTGGTTCGGTCTTAACTTCTACATCGACTAAGTTTTCTTCTTCCAGCACTTCTTGTAGCAGCTCGTTTCCCTCTGCTCACATCCATATGGATGATCATTGCAACAGAAAGACAACCAAACGTACAAAACAGACAAGACAAGAAACATAGGGTAAGCTTATGTAATTCAAATTCCATGTATAAACATATATTTCACACATCAACCAAACAAGATAATTCATCACTCGTTCATGTGCAAAGCCTAATACTAGACTTTGACTGTCCAGACTGTATGAATTCTGTGTAGCTACGACGTTCGTGCACCCGGGTGATGTAGGAACTGAGATACCCTCAACAGCTGCCACCCGAGGTTAGTCCTATCTGTCCAAATTAACCATAAGGACTAGGACCTCCTTCCGTTTCCACACATGACTTACCCTCCTCTACGTGAGGACGAGTAATCACGGAACATCAGGATGAACCGCCAGCTTAGCATGCCCACATTCATACTTTAACCAAAATTCATATCCATCATTCATGAGATATTTCCTCCGGATACTCCGTTCATAAATCATACTCATTTTTCATCTACATCATCCAGATTTCATTTTCAACTTCAATTTTATTTACTTAAGATCACTTAGTACCAATACCGAACGTACAACTTTAACCTTTAGAGCCCGAACACTTGGCTTAGACCGAGAGGTTTCACTTCCAGAACAGGATCAAAACCGAGAGAGAATTACCATCGGGATTGGGTAAGAGACCAAGTTCACTAATATTTTCTCAAGATTTAAAAGGATCGAACGTTATTTACAAAGTGAGTCAATTTGATGAACTGACCCATGAGAGTTTAGACTGAACACCTTAAAGCCTAGACCGAGTACTAAGACTCTAGGCAGAAACCAATGGAGACAGACACTACAAGACATTCAAATAATAGTACTTAGAAGAATCATATGAAGAAACCGAATGTTATAATTACTTAGCTTATTTATAAATTTATCCTCGAGAAAACCGAATGTCAGTCGAAGACCGATCACAACTTAATTTATGGAATAAGACGATAAGTATACAATATCAATTAACTAATGTTCAAGAACGAACGAACATACCACTACATATAATATACTTAAATTTTTATCAGGATGTCAAGGAAAGAATATTCTTGGTTGAACGACTATACTCAAATTTTACTAGACGAAGACGTTCGGTCCTCAACATAAATTCCTTCCAAATGAAAGAATCCAGTTTTAACCGAGTCCCCAAAAAAACACCGAATGGTCAAAGACCATTTAGTAACGAACATACAAATTTCATACTTAGACTTATTTATCTCAATTCATTTCTCAACATTTATCTTCATAATTTCATACATCAATATTATAGTAAATCTTCATACTTCATACATTCAAAACATAGCAACAATCATATATCATGTAAATTCATCCACTCAACGAACGTACATGCAATACAAGCAACATACAAATTAAATTATATAAGCTTCCCTTACCTCTAAGCTAGCCGAATGCTCACGGTTTTGCAGATAACGCTCACCACCAGAATCCTTTGAAGACTAAGGTTCACGATCTTAGAAACTACCCAATTACCAAAACAACACATTGTTCAGAATGTGAAAAGAAACCCATGCACCCAGAAACTTGGTTTGCATGTTCAAGAAAAACCATACGGTTGAGGGAAAAGAAAACTTACCAACTCAGAACCCAAAACCGATCGGCTCAAACTGAAGCTCTTGACACCGGCAGAGTGAAAATGGTGCCTGAGTGATGATCGGAGGAAGAAACGGTGAGATTTTCTTAGAGAGAAGATGAAGGAGATGTAGAGAGAAGGAGGAGATTTTAGAATTCTGGGGAAGAAGGTTGCATGCAGAGAGTGGCGTGAGGTTTGAAAACTTAGAGTTTTTCTTCCAACGTAAAAAACGAATGTCCACTCAGTTGCTTACACCTGCCTTCCTCCATCTGAGTGTCGAGCCCCCCTCTTGACACGTGAATTCCACTAAAAACGAATCTTGAGTGGATTTTTAATGGTTCTGACACATAATCACCATCCATAGTGTTTTCAGAAGAATTAAAAAAAACTAAAATAATAGAAAAGAACAGACAATTTGAATTATTATTTTTCAAAGTAATTAATAAATTGAATTAACAATTTAATAAAAGCAACCCTTAAAGTTTAACAAACTAACTTAATTTCATAATTTAAAAAAATTTGTCATAAAAATAATTAAAAGAACAGGGAAAAGTATTAAAGATGATACATGTGTTTTACTAGTACAATTTCAAAAACCAATTTGAGTGAAACAAAGTTAAGCATTTCAAATAAATGACCAGTCCGTTTTACTAGTACAATTTCAAAAACCAATTTGAGTGATAACTCATAATCTTAAGGATTATATTATTATTTTACTTATTTCAAAATTCAGATTAACATCTTTTCAATTTTAACAAAAAGTATATAATTTCAGAGACTTTATATATTTTATTAGTTTTATAAATCAAATTATTAAGCTATTACAATTTCAAACATTGGTGTTTTATTATATTTCAAAAGAATGAAATATTTAAATGATTTTTTCAAGCTTGGTGGTATCTAAATGTACTTAAACATCTTTTACATGAAAAGCATAACAGTCTAAGATATTAATTTTCAACAAAGAAGGAAGTGAGGCATTCATATATAGTAAATTTCCAAAGTGTATACATGGAATGTTGCAATGAAATTTATTACTTTTTATTGGAAAATGTCATCAGTCAAAACCATTTAATTTCAGTTCATTAATTTTATTTATAAATATCAATACTTAATCCAATTTTCAGTTTTTCTTTTCATTAAAAAAAGATGAAATTGAAATGCTTTGAAAAAGAAATAATACATTTTTCAACTAAAGAAAAAGAGGAATACAATTTAAAAAATAAACTAGACAAATATTTAAAAAAAAAATATAATCTAATTTTGCATTTCCCCATTCTAAACTAAATTGAACAGTAAAAAATTAATTTTTACTTCAATATTAAACATTTCATTATAATTTTAATGAAAGTTAACTTTAGTCGAAAGTAAAGACAGATAAAATATATAAAAATAAAACGAAGATGGGCAAAAAAGTAAAAAGGATATAAATTTTTTGAAAAAAAATGCAAGCAACTGACACATGAAAAATGGATGTTATACCATTAGTCACATGTTTCCTAATATTAAATTTATCATCCAAATGATACAGAAATAAACAAAATTGATTACAGAGTAATGCTTGGTAGAGAAACTATAAAAATACTTCATACTTATAAAAGTAATCTAGAATGTTACCAATGAGTTATTGAAGAGTGGAGGTTAAAACATTTAAAAAGTGACTATGTTTTGGAATATTAAGTTTATGTTTCATACATACCTAAGTTTAGTGAACAAGCAGACTATAGAAAAACATCATCATACTTTTCTTACCACTAACTTCATGAAAGAGATGGAGGTTATATTATTTCATAACTCACCTTTTTTCTATATTATAAAAAAAAAAATAAGATGATAAATTATTAAAAAAACTATAAAGGCTATAAAAAGAAGACTTCATATAAAAACAGTTTGCCATAAATGCCATCTAGGACTTCACCTTTTCTTATAATTATTTTTCATTTAAATCAACTTCTTAAACTAAATTTGAGGCAACACTCATTCTTTCCCTCTAGATTGAGATTATAAAGTACATTAGAATCATGTTTTTAATAACAACATAAAAGTATCACCAAGTAAGTATGAAACCAATTTCAAATCAATTTCAACATTTACTATTTATACTTCCTTGTCATTCAAATAAAATTGTGAAAGAGAGACTGAAAATAATTCATTAAAAGCATATTTATTTAAAGAGCTAAGTTCAACACCAATTTATTAAACTTTGATTAGATCAAACTTGGTAATATATATTTTTAATTTTAAAACTTCCCAAAATGACTAAAAATAATTTATACTGCTAAAATTTTAAGAAGGTAAATTAGATCCAGTGCAATAAATATAAGTATGTCCCTAAAGAACTTGTAACCACTAAACTAGCTTCAAATCTCTTGAAAAGCATTCCCCAGATCAATATCAGTTCATGGACACAAATGTTCAGATTGGAGAATGTTTGTATCAATAAAATTAGATGAATAAAGAGAAAAGACATGCAAAAAGACGAACTGAGAGCAACATGTATTTTTTTTCTTTTCATTCATTAAATTTCTCAACCACTGGTTGCCACAGAGAAAAGAGATTTGATCCAAGACAACATTGAAATCCAAATAATAGAAAAGGCTTACCTCAATTTGGAATGAGACAAAACCCTGGATTCATCCTCAAGCACCAGGAAGAATGCATTCGAGTTCTCAGCAATTATTTTCCAGCTGCACTAAATCTAAACTGGGAAAACTAATTTATTTCTACCACCCTCAGTATCCACAGTTAATAATTAATACTAGAACTAACAAGCAATAAACTTTCAGCGTCAGCGTCTGGGTCGTGTCTCCAACACTTTATTCACAATAGTTTCAATCTATGTGTGATCTTCCGAACACACATCTAATCAAGCAATCGGAACTAAAATTTCTCTAAAGATCAAAGAAGAAAGGATCATTATAATCCCACAAATTATCAGTGTAATCGTCCTCACTCGCCAAAGGCCACAGGGACGAAGAAGATCCAAGCCCCACTGTCCCCACCAACGACAGATCTGGATCCTCGGAAGCCTCCATATTTGCCTGAGAACCCTCCGCCGAACCCACAACGGAATCAACTCCATCCACATCGCCTTTCTGATGTTGCTGATGATTCGACGAATGGTCGTGTTGCACATGCAAACGGTTATTATCCTGGAAACCATGCCTCTGGTACGAGGTTGATCTACTGGAGCTATTAGCAGTAGTATTATTCCCACCTAAACTCACATCGGATTCCGACTTTGGGTATGATGTTGATAAAGCATGTGGCACTTGCACCACTTCCTCAGGTCGACGATGGTGATGATGACGATGAACATGCACTGTATTATTGCTATTCTCGTTAGGGCACAGTGCCTGCGGGGTGTAATTGAAGGTGGTGGCATACGCGGCGGCGCAGGGGTAGGGAAGGGCGGCGGCGTGGAAGGGAAAATTGAAAGCGAAGCCCGAGGGGCGAGGAAGCAAGGGTCTTAGGGTTTGAGTGGAAGAGGAAGAGGTGGTACGAGAGGAGGAGGAGTGAGAAGAAGAACAGGAGGGTTGGAGATTAAGCTGGGCACGGGAGCCGTAGAGGATGAGGGCGGCACGGTCGTAGGCTCTGGCGGCGTCTTCTGCGGTGGCGAAGGTGCCGAGCCACTTGCGGGTGCGCTTACGTGGCTCGCGGATCTCGGCGACCCATTTGCCCCAGCTTCGTTGTCTGACGCCGCGGTACCTAAATTTGTTGTTGTCGGGGCCACCTTTGCCTTTGCATTTACGAGCAGTATTATTGTTGTTGATGGTGGTGTGATTGGAGGTGATAGATGTTAGGCTGGGAGTGGAGGGTGTGGCGGTGGTGACGGTGGGTTTGGTTTCTTGGGGTTGAGGTTGGAGAGAGGCCATTGGTTGGGCCCAGTTTTTAATCTGAGGGGAAAGATGGAAAGATGGAGACCCTTGGGTACCTCGTTCAGCGTTGATGTTGATTAGTCCAAAGAGGAGACTCTGCTGAAAGGGGTTTCGATGTCATCCCTGTCAATGGTGGAATAGGGCGGTGTAACATGCAATTTATACATGAGAGAGAATAAAGCACCCCACTCATCTCTCTCCATCCAATAAATAAAAAAAACAAACACTCCCTTCTTTCTTTCTTTTCTTCATTTTCTGCTCAAGTTCTCTTTCCCAACTTTTTACCACCCTCTTCCTCTCTTTACTGTTTTCCTCCTACTTTCCCACCCAATCTTTCTTCACAATTCAAATTAATTATCTATATATAATCAATTTAAATTAATTACCTTTATAAATAACACCATTTGCATGGGACTGTGTCGTAAATGTAAATGTGACTGATGTTGGAAGTTTGTTCTTCAAAACAAAGAAAATAGCTGTGAATGTCAGCTAATAGACACATATATACAAGTGCATGCAGTTCCTCCATTGAACTGTCATGATTATGTTTGGAAGGTTGTTGTGCTTCAAAAATATCTGTTTTTTTTGTTTGGTTTATTTATCAACCATGCTGAACTTCCAATACTTATATATACTGAAAGCCACCAAAGACAATTTATCTTATATACCTAGGTACTTTCTCTTCCAACTTGTGGCTACAGTACATGTTTGTGTACTTTGCACTAGAGTTTTTCATGTTTGCGAATGACTAGATTTTCTTTAGATCATTTATTCCGCAGTTTTCAAAAGCAATCAAAATTATGTCCTCAAGAATCAGGAGATTTATTTATTTATTTATACAAATGTTATACTCATCACAAGTTATTTTCATAGAATTCATCAAATTAGAATTAAAAAAAATACACAAGACATATATTTTTGGCACGTATAAGAGATTTGTCTGTAACTCTTTAGAATTACAGCTCGGAAAATACAAATTTGCTCATCCTACCCACTAAAGTGTTTAAGAATAAAGCAATAACTTTTCCATTTTTCATTGGGAAATGACAACGAGACTGAAACAGTTGAGAGAAGAGAGACAATTCACAGTTATATACTCCATTTTTTACTTTATACTCATCTGACACAAATCAAGTGGTATTTTATTTTAAAATGTAAAATATTTTAAGATAAATCAATTAAAAAATATTAATTTATTATTAGATATTAGAAATGTCTAAGAAAATTAGAAATATACATGAAATATTTTCCTTGAGAAGAATCAGAAGGCTTTGACTTCCTATAGGTCCTTACATTACTCTTTCATTTTCCAGTATTTAACCATTTCTCTTCTTTGTCATTATTTATTTATTTATTTCACTCAGTTTTGTTTTCTCTCCTTTTTTTTAGTTGTCTTTTTGTTTCACAAATTTCTCAAAAACAATATACAACAAAATTGTCATAACATTCGTCCAGATGCAATCATTATTTATTAATTAAATTTCAATTATTTTAATAGTTGATAATATTTTATTTTATTTTATTTTATTTTGTTTTGTTTTGTTTTGTGGTTAAAGTATATTGAAATCGGAATAACATTAAAAGGTTTAGACTAAAAGACCATTTTGAGTTATACAAGAAGGAACTAGGGACTTGAAGTCTTGAAATAGAAGTGTATCTTTCTGATTTTAATTTATTTTATCAACCAAATAAACGTGCCACATTAATGTTAAGTTCATTAATTACTTCTGGACTTTAAAAATCATCCATAATAACAGACTGCATAATACAAATAGGAGACCAATTAGATATAAATATTAATTTCACAAATCAATAACAAATTTATTCATTACAAATTTAAATTTAATGAAATAATATTAATGCCTTTATGTGTACAAAAGTAGTGAAATTTTATCTGTATATAAACATATAAATAGTAATATCTGTGTTTAAATCATTCTTGATATTATCTTTTTCAAGCTCAAACTGTATTGATGGAAGAAAACATAAATTTTGACGATTTAGTAAAAATTATATATACTATCTTATACGAATGGATGTATATATAAAACAAATATGTTAGGTAATTTTCTTCATAAAAGAAACTATGATGAAGGAATATTACATTGTTTGAGAAGTTGTCTAGAGTGAACTTAATCATGTTAATGACAACTTCTATACTTTTAAGTTTGTTTTTTCGTTCATGTTAAAACAAAAAAACAAGATTCTCATATTTGATTTCACAATAGTCAATTTACATATGTGTGTCAATAACTGAATGCTCAAAAGGCTTAATGATCTTAATTTTCTAATCTCATAATTGAAATAAGGATGAATGCAATGTTTCTATAATTAATTTACTTGTGGTAGCTAGGAGCCATAACTATAGCAATACATCGGTTTATATGCCTCCAAATTCATGCATATGATTCATGGATAGATACAATGATATTGTGAAGTTAGAGAACAACTATAATTCTACAAAAAAATGTGCATAACCTTATGTCAATTACTGATGTCACTCGTACAGTAATAACTGGAAGGTTACACATATATATTATTGAATTGAAACATGAATATTGGAAGAAAAAAAATGCTGTATTAGGCTTGATTATAATGTAAAATGAATTTCTTTGCTTGATATTGTGTAATTGGACGAGATCCTATTGTCTTTCTGATTATGTTTTAGATTTTATGTATATATGAGTTGAAATACTCGAATACTTCTCTATTAAAAAATTGATATGAATATTTTATTAATCAATAAAGCTTATCCTTTTTTAAAGTTAACATTAATGTTTGAATTCACAAGTTGTAGCACACACCAGAAAGCAAAAATAACTTAGTAAGAAAATAATGCACAAATTTGAAAAAACACAACATATATATTTAATATATTTAGAAGATTTGTAGTCCAACAATTTACTATAGATATAAAATTATATAATAATAAACATAAAAACTTGTTATAATAAGCAAAACCAAAATAACAAAGTAATCTGAACATAGAATTTGAATAAAAAATTCTACAATTGTCAATCATAACAAATTAAAAAAAAAAAATACAAACTCGCATTTAAAGATCTGAATGTGTCCTTCAAAACTTAAAAGGAGAATGCTTTGTTTTATTATAGAACAGAATCTATTTTTCATCCTCAATTAGGAATGACGACGTGGTGATGCGGAACTAATCATGCGAGTCAACCCGCAAGCCTTATAAAAAAGTGTACAATATTCTTTAGTATGATTGTTTATTTCGGTCAGTTTGCATAACTTATAGTCTGTGCGGACTAACAATCAGACAACCTGCATTTGGTTTGCATAATCTTCATTAATTTTGAATTTTTAAAATTTAATGACATCAACACAACAACCTTGTTTGTATTTCTTATAAGTAAAATCACTCATTAAAATTTCTGTTTATCTAAAAGTAACTTGCTTATTTGTTTTTCTTGTTTCTGGCCAATTTTAAATGTGGAATTATAAAATTATAAATATTTTTTATTTTAAAAAATAAACTTATAAAATCTATTTTTTATTAATTTAATTAAATAAATATAAGGTTAATAAAATTTTGTACCTTAATATTTTACATTCTATAAAGAGAAAAAATTAAATAATTTCTTATATAGGTTGTAGGCAAAACATATTATGTATGGTAGACCAAAGAAATTAGTCTACTTTTTTTATGTAGGAGGAACTATTTCGACTTAAATTTTGTAGACCGAATGCAGAACATACTAAAATGAAACAGACCAACTCACATCGCATCTTTATTTTTAAGTATAGTCATGGAACATCTTTATTATTAAACACCTTAAAAGATGATACATTAAAATAATGTAGATAGTTAACTAACTGTAAGGAGGTTCCACACACACATAGATCTCCACGCTGGTGAAGTATTGCCCACTTTGGGTCAAATCCTTACGGATTTGCTTTTTATAAATAAAGGTATCTTATGTGTGTTAAGATATGCCAAATATTCTATTAAAGGATATTAGGCAATCAAATATTATGTTAGTTATAATTTAGATATTATTATAATTTGTGCAGATTTGTGCTTTACACAAAATGAACCTATGAGTTTGTACTGTGACAATACTTCGTCTATAGCAATTGCTCACAATCTTGTTTAACATGATAGAACAAAGCTTGTGGAGATTGATAGACATTTCATCAAAGAGAAGCTTGAAGCTGTAATAATTTCATTTCCTTTTGTAAGATCAGAATTGTTAGGCTTAAAGTCCATTTCTAACATGGTATCAGAGCCATGGTTAGAGCCTATCCTAGCGATAATTTGTTGTTTGTTGGACATATTGTTCCACCCGCTATCGGACCACCCATTAAAATGTCTAATCCCACGCTCGAGATGTATATACCTCGGCGTGAGGGGGTGTGTTGGAAATCCCACATCGACTAGAGATAAGGCCAATTCAGTGTATATAAGTGGGTGCAAACCTCACCTTACAAGTCGATTTTGTGGGGTTGAGTTAGACTTAAAGTCCACTTTTTAACAATGTGTATATAATAAACTGATGTCCATCTCTTATTTTATCCGATGTGAGACTTTGTTTGACGGTGAGATGATTATGCTTGATTGTAACACGAAATACAATTTTGTATGTTAAAACAGTATCATAGCTCTAGGTATTCTTTAGCCTTCCAATGTATAAAAAAAATATGTTTTACCAATACCTAACCCTTAGAACCAGTTCAATACTCCAATATGTAAAACAAAGTTTCCAAATCAACACAACATTAACATTACTCAAATAGATCCATGACTGAATAAACATGTTTACATAATATCAACTCCAATTCATATCACATGTAACCAACCAGACCATACCAATCACATGAGTGAAATCAACTTTAACTTTTCAAATTAGATTTCAACAAGATTATCCTCGCAAATTACTCATTCAATCACACTCCAGCATGCTAACTATATAAGCACAAATCATTTATTTTCCCCAAATTCTAGTACCTACCAAATAACAATTTTCAAACTAAAACTTATTCGCAATCCACGATCTTGTGTCAAACTTACACCAACCAAGTATAACAATAATAATGATACAATAATCTACTCACTCCCACAAATTCATCACAAATATATCATCCTAAATTTTCAACTTCATCATAACTATACCAATTTCAACCCACTTCTCAATTTAAAATTCTCAAGCTATCC